GGGGGGGGGGGGGGGGGGGGGGGGGTTAGCAAAAGGTCCTAGTAGATTTTAGACTACATTTCAGTGATGAAGAACTAAGACTGGAGACACATCTAAGTACCAAGTTTGCGAACTTTCCCCGACCCTATCAAAGGTTGAGTTGGAGATCAATGTTGGAAAATGTATCCTTGCATATCTATATCTGGTAATTTGATAATTGGGACACCACGATAAGACTTTTATCGAAATAGTGAATCTTTGGTCAAATTTGCTAATTCAACACTCTCTTAGACCTCACAAGGAAGTCCGCGGACTAGAACAGCCATCAGCAAAGCATAAAACAGCATGAAAGGAGAACAAAAAGATTGTAGGTCATTATAACAATTTTGATGATAGTCATTCACACAAAAGGCCAGAAGGCCAATTTACCACAGAGAATTTGATGTATCAATTACCAGTGAATTCAACTAGTGGTTGGTTTTCTCATCAACAAAATTCGCTCAAGTTATAATGTGGCCAATCTCATGAACTAATTTCTTGAAAATAGATGTTGACAGTGCTTTTGTGAATAAATTGGCCACATTGTCACTTGAGCGAATTTGTTGGATATCGATGTCGCCATTCTTTCGAAGCTCGTGTGTATGGAAGAATTTTGGAGAACTATGCTTCGTCCTATCACTTTAGATATAGTCTTCTCTGAGTTGTGCAATACAAGCTGCATTGTCTTCATGCAAAATTGTTGGACTATCTTTTGTTGAAATTAATCCGCATGATTGGATATGATGGGTCATGTTTCTCAACCACACACATTCTCGGCCTGCTTCATGGATTGCAATAATTTCATAATGATTTGAAGATATAGCCGTCAAAGATTGCTTCACAGATCTCCATGATATAGCCGTTCTTCCACATGTAAACACATAACCTATTTGTGATTCAGCTTTATGTAGGTCAGATAGATAACTTGCATCTACATATCCCACTAAAGCAGATTCCGATTTTTGAGAATAAAATAATCTCAAATCAATAGTACCCTTTAGGTAACGAAAAATATGTTTAACACCATTCCAATGTTTTTGAGTTAATGTAGAGCTATATCAAGTAGATTTACAGAAAAAGTTATGTCGGGTCGAGTGCAATTTGCAAGACAAGTTAATGCTCCAATTGCACTAAGATATGGTACTTCAGGACCAAGAACCTTTTCTCCATCTTCAAGTGGACGAAATGGATCTTTTTTCACATCAAGTGATCAAACAACCATAAGTGATGCCAATGGATGTGCATTATCCATGTAAAAACGTTTTAAAACTTTTTATGTATACGTAGATTGGTGAACAAATAATCCATCTGCGAAATGTTCAATTTGCAATCCAAGACAAAATTTGTTTTTTCCCAAATCCTTCATCTCAAATTCATTTTTCAAATAATCAGCAATTTTGTTGAGCTCTTCAGGAGTTCCAATTAAATTTAAATCATCAACATAAACTCCCACAATTGCAAATCCACTATTTTTTTCTTTATGAAAACACATGGGCAGATATCATCATTTTTATAGCTCTCATTCAACAAATATTGGCTAAGGCGATTATACCACATGCGTCCAGATTGTTTTAATCCATATAATGATCTTTGCAATTTAATTGAGAACATAGTTCTCGGGCATGTATCTTTTGTTCCTGGTACCTTAAATCCTTCAGAGACTTTCATAAATATGTCACTATCAAGTGAACCATACAAATATGCAGTTACTATATCCATAAGGCGCATATCAAGCTTTTGTGATACAGTCAAACTAATTAAGAATTTAAAAGTGATGGTGTCCATTACGGGAGAATATGTTTATTTGTAATCAATTCCAACCTTGAGCTACTAGTCGGGCTTTGTATTTTGTAATTTCATTATTTTCATTCCTTTTTTGTACAAAAACCCATTTGTATCCAACAAGGATCACATTTTCAGGTGTTCGAACTACAGGTCCAAACACTTTTCGTTTCTCCAAAGAATTCAATTCTACTTGTATGACTTCTTTCCATTTTGGCCAATCATTTCTATTTTGACAGTCTTTAACCGACTGTGGTTCAGGATCCTCATTTTGTATAATATCAAGAGCTATATTAAAGGCGAAAATATTGTCTATAACAACATTATTTCGTTCCCATAATTTATGAGATAACATATAATTTATTGAAATCTCATTATTTTCGGACACTTGTAGTTCTTCAGGAACCATATTTTCAATCTCTGATTGATCAATTTTTTCTAATGTGACTTCTTCCAAAATTTTTGGTTGATTTGTCTATGTACTTTTCTTTTTCGAGGTACAGAGTCTTTTGAACCAACTGGTCGATCACACTTTTGACGTATTTGAGATTCATTTGCTACAGCAGATTGTCCCACAGGGACATCAATTTTTGCTGGCATATTTTCTACTGGAACATATGATTTTGTCACTTTCCTTGTGTCAACAAACACATCAGGTAATTGATTTGCGACCCTTTGCAAATGAATGATTTTTTCAACCTCCTGCTCACATTGATTTCTACGGGGATCAAAATGAAATAGATTTGTTTCATTCCAAGAAATTTTACTTTATTTTTCAGGATGTAGTTTTTCTCTTCCCAAAATTGTGAAAGTCATTTCATCAAAATGACAATCTACAAAACGTACAGTAATAAATCACACGTTAAAGGTTCAAGATACTTAATAATTGATGGCGAATCAAAACCCACATAAATTTCAAGTCTTCATTGGAGACCCATTTTAGTACGTTGTGGGGGTAAAATGGGGACTTGGACTGTGCAACCAAAAACCCGTAGGTGTGAGATATCAGATTCGTGACCAAATGCTAGTTGCAAAGGTGAATATTGATTATAGGCAGTTGGTCTAATACGAACCAATGATGCAGTATATAATATGGCATGATCCCAAACAGAAGTTGGGAGTTTTGTTTTCATAAGTAATGATCTAGCAATAAGTTGTAGACGTTTAATAAACGATTATGCTAAACCATTTGTGTATGGACATGCGCAACTGAATGTTCAATTGCAATCCCGATTGACATACAATAATCATCGAATGCTTGTGACCTAAATTCACCATCATTGTCAAGGCGAATAATTTTAATTGAGTAGTCGAGAAATTGTGCTTGTAATTTTATAATTTGGGCAAGTATCTAGCAAATGCTACATTCCTAGTGGAGAGTAGGCAAACATGTGACCACCTGGTAGACGAATTAATTAGTACTATAAAATAACAAAATGGTCCACATGGTGGGTGTATTGGCCCACATATATCGCTATGAATTCTTTCCAAAAAAGTTGGAAATTCAATATTGACCTTTGTAGTTGAAAGTCTAATGACTAACTTGCCTTGCGAACAAGCTACACATGGATAATCATTAAGCAAAAAAAATCTTTTGGTTCTTTAAAGGATGTCCACGTGAGTTATTTATTATTCGACGCATCATTATAGCTTCTGGATGTCCAAGTCGATCATACCAAAGTATAAAATTTTTTGAGTCAACGAACTTTTGGTTCATGACATTATTTGGTTCAACCATTTTTATAAATGTATAATACATGCCAGATGAAAGTGCATAAAAATTTTCTTTTATTTGCTTCTGACCAGATATAAAAGAAGTTATGCAAAAATATTCGACATTATTTTCTTGTGTGGTCTCAATATGATATCCATTGCAACGGATATCTTTAAAACTAAGCAAATTTTTTCTAGATTTACAAAAATAAAGTGCATCGTCAATATATAATTTTGTATTATTTGGTAAAATAATACAAGCTCTTCTGGAACCTTCAACGAAATTTGATGCACCTGATATTGTATTGACATTATTCTCCTTTAATGTTAAGTCCAAAAAATATTTTTTGTCTTGATAAATAGTATGGGTAGTTGTACTATCAATCAAGCAGATGTCTTAACAATCCATCATGAATCTATCAATACAACAAAATAGATATATGTAAAAAAAACTTGAATTTAAATTCAAAATGATAATCATAATTAATATTGTGAAATTAACGATGCATAATAAAGTTCAAAATTTTTTGCGAAAAGTAAAAACATATTTCAAACTAAATTTTTAAAATAAAGGGAAATATTAGAAACATAAAAAAAAAAAAAAAACTAATCTATATCGTTCATCACACCACCCCCAATCAAATGGTCAATATTTCCATTTGGATCAGCAAAGAAATCGGAGACATCCAAATGAGTCACATCAATTGGACCATCATAGTCAGTAAAATTTGTCTCCACTTTTCCCTTTCCCTTGATTGATTTTTGGTAGAGATCCACAGGGTGTTTTGCCGTACGACAGGTACGTGTTCAATGCCCTTTCATTCCACATCTAAAACAACTTTCTTCATGTACCTTTTTAGGTATGCTACTTTCGTTTACTTTGTACCTTTTAAAATTGTTGCCTTGCTGTTGACAACTTTGTTGATTATTTCGTCCATGGTTTACTCCGCGTGCACGTTCGCGTCCACGTTCACATCCTTGTCTTGATATTGCATTTGTTTCAGGCAATGCAGTACTATTTGCTTCAGGCAGTGGTACAGAACCAGTTGGACGAAACCCATGATTTTTCATCAGCAGTTCATTATTCTGTTCAGCAACAAGCAGGCAAGATATAAGTTCTGAACACTTCTTGAAACCACGCTCGCGATATTGCTGCTGCAGGAGCACATTCGAGGCGTGAAAGGTGAAAAAAGTTTTCTCCAACATATTTTATCAGTGATATTTTCTCCACACAATGTCAATTTTGAACATATTCTGAACAATTCAGAATTGTACTCACTAACAATTTTAAAGTCTTGCAAACGAAAGTGCATTCACTCATAGCGGGCTTTGGGAAGGACTATAGTCCTCTGATAATCAAATCTTTCAGTTAATTTTTTCCAAAGAACCTGTGGATCTTTCTCAGTAAGATATTCAATTTTCAGTCCATCGTGAAAATGATGAAGAAGGAAAATGAGTGCTTTTGCACGATCCTGCAGGGATCTTTTATTTCCTTCTTTTATTGTCTCTCTCAAACCTTTTGAGACAAGATGAATATCAGCATCAAGTACCCATGATAAATAATTTTTGCCAGATATATCAAGTGCAGCAAACTCGAGTTTCGTGATGTTTGCCATTTGATTAACTACACAATAAAGTAAAAGAAAATATAATTAGTTTCAAAAAATATGATTAAACATCATATAATAATTAATCAAGTAGTCAATATCAATATGACATAATTTATGTGTTTTTCTTCAAAGATAAACACTAAAATAATATATTCTTCGAAACATATGTTACTTCAGGAGCATGTATTTTATTATTATTATTTCTTCAAGATCAATACGTCAATATTCTTTTGGAATATTGAAAAATATAATTTATGCTCTTCAAGAGCAAATAATATTCTTCAAGAATAGTAATTATAATATTGTACTACTTCAGGAGCATCAAAAAGCTATTTATAATAGATAGATCTTCGATTAATATTCTTCTGAAATATTAATTATAATGTTGTGCTACTTCACAAGCAATAACATGATAAATTGTTAAGTTAAAATTTATATAAGAACATCTAAAATTACCATATAGACATGGTATGAATTTAAATACAAGAATTAATCACAAAAAATGTATAAGTAAAGAAAAAAATCTTCCAAGCATGCACGTGAAAAGAATATTTAATTACCATACAAACAGGATATAATGTAAAAATTAATTACCAAATAGATAATATATGAATTTATATTTTAAATTTGATTACCAAACATGTATTAGGAAAAAAATCTTAATACATGGACACAATATTCATATACAGACATGCATTAAAAAAATATAAAAAGTATTAATAATTAATATGTGTATAAAAATTAGCATTCAACATTAGCAGAGAATGGAAAACCACATGCAATTATTATCATATAAAAATTGGCAAAAACCAAAGAACCCATACTGTAGACTACATGTAAATTGGCAAAATGATACACAAATTGATTTCGGAGAATAGATTACAAATAAAAAAAAACATATTTTATATGAATTAATTGCCAAATAATTGGCTTCGATAAACAAATGTATCAAGGCAATGGAAGGCTTGACATGTAGCGCCACCGCAACATCCCTGGCTGATCTCTTCTACCCCAAAGCAGTTGGGGAGTAATAGTACAATTTCCCATAAAAATTTGTTGGAGAGTATGGTAAGAGGAAAAGTGACAAAAACCATTTATTGAAAGAAGCAAGAAAAGTTGATGCTGAATTAAAGGGACGGAATATTAAAACTTTTTATATAACTTATCAAACAAGGTTCCACAACAGCCACAAAATTAAAGAGACGGAATATTAAAGTGCATGTATACAAATTCATACGCCACCAAATTAATTTCGGTACGCATGACAGATAATTATGCTTATGAAAATTATTACCTTCACTAGACTTTAAAAGATTTCGTGCTGATATAACGTGTTATGAAAAATAAAGAAAAGAGTAGAAAACAGAGAGAAGTCAATAAACTTGTGTATTTTATTAAGAACCAAGACCCTGTATTTATATGGTAGAATTAGAGATACAATGATAATTATTTTTAGAGCTGTAGAGATGTAATTGTCATTCACCTCTGAACCCTAATAATCTTTCCTTTGACAACATTCATATGATTTTTCAAAAAATCCCTAATTTTAAGGATAATTTTGTAAGTGGCCTTTTCACAATGCTACATCACATGATCGTAGGGCACACTACACTCGACATCACTACAATTTTGACGTCACTATATAACATGATTGATTTTTCAAAATAGTTATGATTCTTAAATTCGAATTAAAAATAAAATTAAAAATTATTAAAGGGTGTGTGAATCGTAACCTTAAACAACTTTCGATTAAGGTAACTAAAATTTAAGAGTTAAATTCATCAATAATCACCCAACTTTATATTTAGTGTTACTATGGTCATCCAATTTGATTTTTTTCATCATAGCCCCCAACTTTATAGTTAATATCATTATAACAACTTAATTTGATTTTATTTCACTATAGCCATCCAATTTCATATAATGTTTTACCATGGTTATCCATTTTTATATAATGTTTCGTTACGGTCACTTAACTTTCTTTCACCATTAAGGGGAAAGACGATAACTTTGCGTTATATATATAAAATAGATTTTAAAAAACAAAAACAAAATAAAAACTTATTTTTAAAAATAAAATAAATTATAAATTTATTTTAAAAAAATGTTACTTAAAAAAATAATAATAACTAATTTTTTTTAAAAAATTAGTTAAAAATTTAAATAAAATAAAAATTATTTAAAAATATTTATAAAGAGAGTGTTTGAGAGACATTTTTATGTAAAAATACATTTTTGAATAATAAATTAATGGAAAATGTGTGGTTGAAAAATAAGAAAATATTTTTTATTTATGTGTAATATTATTTTAATAAAGAATATGTGGGTGAAAAGAAGAGAGGAAAAAATGAATTTTGAAAAAAATTGGTACCAAATGGGGCCAAAATAAAATAAAACTTATTTTTCAAAAAACAGTTCCTTAAAAAAAATTATTTTAAAAAACTCGTTCCTTAAAAAAATAATATAATATAAACTTATCTTTTTTTAAATTATTTTAAAAGATGTTACTTAGAAAAATAAAATAAAATAAAATAAAAACTTATTTTAAAAAACTTTTAAAATTAAAAAAAAAATTTTATTTTTATTCTTAAAAAATTATTATATATATATAATGTAAAGTTACTGTTTTACCCCTTTTAAAATTAGAGAAGAATGTGAAAAAAATGAATTGGGTAGCCATAAAGAAAGATGGTATGAAATTGGGTGGCAATAGTAAAACGTTATATGAAATCAAATGATCATGGTGTAGTGTTATATGAAATTGGATCGTCATTGTGTAATAAAATAAAATTGGTTTGTCACGGTGATACTAACTATAAAATTAAGTGGTCATAATGAAATAAAATTGAATTATTTGGTCAGGTGACATTAATATGTATAAGTTAGGTGGGCGTTGGTTGGTGACTGTTCTTAAAAATTGGTGATCAATTACCCTAAAAAAATACATGAATAATGAGTAATTAGTTTGCATCCACTCCAGCTGTGGCCGCCACCGAAAATGGCTGGAAAAATCTTGATAATATTCGACTTTGATCGGACTCTGATCGAAGAGGATAGCGATAGATGGGTCTTGACAAATATGGGCCTCACCAATCTGTTCTATCAGCTCCAATCTACCTTACCCTGGAACTCTCTTATGGTCTGCGTTGCATAACTGCTCTGCTACTTATATTTTTCAATAATTATATATGTAAATATGGGACTTTTTTTGTTTGTTAGTAGAATACATTTTGATAATTAACAATTTTGATGTTATGTGCTTAATATTGATTCTGCTACAATATATTATCCTTCTTAAATTTTTATTTTTTTATTTTTCTTATTACCTTTTTTTTTTTTTTGGTAAGTACCCATATAGATTGTGAAATCTAAGCACCGAAAGTCGTTGTCTTGTTTTGGTTAGATTGCAATTATTACCTAAAGTTCTATTGAATGTAGAAATAATTGATTAAAGATGAGATTGTAGACCCATACTTCTTGGAAATTCTAATGTTAGTTTTGAATTTGAATCACTCATCTGCTGTTTCTTATTGTATAATTTCACTGTATGTTGATTCACTTTTTTGTAGGATTCGATGCTGGAGGAGATACATTTACAAGGGAAAACGGTTAATGATATTGAAGAGTGTTTGCAGCAGGTTCCGCTGCATACACGGATAGTTGAAGTAACTAAAACAGCTCATGCTCTCGGGTATAATGGCCTTGTTGCCACTCTTACTGATTTTAGACTTTTTGTTGTTTGAAAAATGAAAATGCAATGAAATATAATGTGGTTGTTTCAGATGTGACCTGAAGGTGGTTAGTGACTCCAATGCGTTTTATATCAGAACTATTTTGGAACATTATGGAATATATAATTGTTTCTCGGAAATCATCACAAACCCAATCGTCGTAGAAGATAGGGGCAGGCTTAGGATCTTTCCCTATAATGACATGGATTCTCCTCATAGCTGCGATCTCTGTCCTCCTAACTTGTGCAAGGTATTCTCATTTTGGTCTTTTTGTTTTTTGTCTTCTTTTGTAGACACCAGAAATAGGCAAATAGCCAAATCTAGCTTGGTGTGTTGATCTCAGTCAACTGGTAGAAGTCTTTTTGATGATTGATATGGATATTATTAGACTTTAGCTATTAGCAGAACTTGTTGAAACTTGAAATTATACCTGCACCACTAATTCATCCTCCTACAAAAAATGGCAAGTGGTTGGCTGTTCGATCGAGTCCAGCCCTGGAAAGGCTGGTTTGTTGTACTTAATGTTTTTCCTCTTGTGTGTGTTGATTGTTATATGTCCAGCCCTGGAAAGGCTGGTTTGTTGTACTTAATGCTTTTCCTCGAGTGTGTGTGTTGATTGTTATATGTTAACTTCCCTATGTATGCATTAACCAATTTTCCATCTTTGGTCTACTAAAATACTATGCTTTAAGCCTTTAATCCATGCAAATCTATCTTTATCAATTCCGAGTACCAAAATTTAAGATCATTTTATAATTGGAAAATCAATTTATAACTTCGGATCATGTACAATCTCAACATGGAGAAGACTATAAAGTGATTTTTCATTGTTTATTTTGACTTTCTTTCACATTTCAAGACATTAGTAGCAAGCTCTAGCAATTGACATTTTTGAGTTTGCTGAGAATACCATTCACCTCACTGTTGTAAATTTGCTGCCTTTTATTCTTCAAATTGACTAAAGTTCCTTGGATTGAGTAACAAAACTTTTTTTATGTGAAGAAGAAGTTTTGCGGTTATATTAGCTGCACAATGTCAATCATCACACAACAGGTGTGTTTGATTATGACCATGGAAATTGCATGCAAAGAAAACAAATTCTAAACAATTCAATTACATAGAACTTATTTGTATGGAAATCATTAATTAAATATGTGTGATTGATTTAGTTTTCAACCTAAAAAATATTATACTTGTTCATTTTTTATTAGTGGATAGATAAGAGAGAGGAAATATATGTGAGAGAGAGATTGAATTACTTGAAAAATAAAACCCATCTCTCCCTAAAGAAAATGTTTTCCTTATTTTTTAGGAAAAAATGGTCACATAACCAAAAGTTGAAAAATATTTTTCATGGAAAAAAATGTCAATCAAACACCTCAAAAGTAGGAATTTGGTTGGAAAAATTACATTTTGCATAGAAAATAAAGCTAATCAAACACACTAATATTTACACCGAGTTACTTTGGAAAAAACTGAGAGAGGCCAGGCTGTTCATATTATGCCATCCCTTAATTATCATTCAGTGTTGGGGCTAAACACATTAATAAGGTGACAGTATTTTGCTTGCTAATCATATTGCATCCTGTAAACCTTCAATTGTAAAATTTGAGTCTTGATTTTATCTTACCTTGTTTTCCAATATAGGGGGGTGTGATAGAGCGTATCCAATCCTCAATTTCTGAAAGCGAAAGGAAAAGATTAATTTATGTCGGAGATGGGAGAAACGATTTCTGCCCAACTTTGAAGCTTGATGCAGGAGATTTTGTGATGCCAAGAATGAACTTCCCTTTGTTTGATCGTATTTTGAACAATCGTGCTCTTGTCAAAGCAAAAGTTCATGAGTGGAGCAATTGGGAAGAACTCGCAACTATCCTACACGAACTTATTAATTATATCTCCAATGAAGAGGAAGTCGAATGTCGTACAGCCAACCAACTGAATTCGGTAGAGTATAATAATGAGGCTCCAGGATCCACTAATGAACCACTCACTGTTGTCACTGATTGACTAATGGGAAGCTGTCCAGTGACTATGCTAGAAACATCAAAGTCAGACTGGCGGGTACATTGGTAATGTAACTCTCCTTCAAGTGAAACAAATGCTGAATTTTGTGTTATAGCATCAATGCATATCTACTTAGCTATATTCTTCCCCTGCTTTCTTCTTCTTCTTCTTCTTCATTTATTATTATTATTATTTTTTTTTTATTTTTTTTATTATTATTTTTTTAAGGCACAAATAGAGGCTACTCTGGCTAAAAAACATTTGCGGCACATTGCTTGCTCGATTGATGTAAACGTGCTGATAGCCAGGGCGAAGCTAGAAGAAAATAATTGTGGGGGCAAATTCCATAAAATTTTAATAGTGGGGACAAAATTTAAAAATAATGTGCTTGTTTGCTTCCCATTTTTTGTTCCTAAGTAGAAGAAATTGGACCATTGCTTTTTCACAAACCCATTTTTTTGTTGCATTCATCTGACTCTAACATGACAGTTGACTGTGGCATTTATTGTTTTCCTCATCACATTCCTTGCTCTGCTCTTCTCTTCAAGAACACTAATTTTTACTACTCTCCTCACTATTGGACAAAAGAGTGGGCATAAAAGGTATTGCAAATATGACAATTGTAGGTATTCAAACCAATCACTCAAACAGAAAAAACCTCACAAAATCAATATCTATTGATTGTACTAGACAATCAGATGCTACGACTAAGAACAACCATTTCAATCACAAAGATCAATTTCAATTTTACAGAGATCAAAACCCTAATTTTCACTAGAAAAACGGAAAGAGATGAAGAGATTGATAGAAGGATCCAGAGAGTGTGAATAGTGCTAAGGTCAAGTTTATATCTGATCAATTCAATAGTCACAATCGAACGGCTGGAATGTAGCCACGTGGACGGCAGATTCACACCCCCTCAAAGAGGCTAAAGTCGTGTTTCCAAGAAAATGTTTTTATTAGAAAGGTCAGCAACCCGACTGTATGTAATTCAGCCCCAAGAGAGATGCGGCCCAACAACCCAAAATTTAGCGAGGCAGCCCAAAATTCTTAACAGTTATAGCATTGACACACATCATCCTACGTTTAGCTATATTCCTCCCCTGCTTTCTTCCTTTTTTGTGTTTAGGTCCAAATATAAGCAACGATGTATAAAAACATTGTGGGCACATTGTTCGCTTGATTGGTGTAAAGGTTGTAGTAGGAGAAACCAAAATTGATCCTTTAGCTGTCTAGCAGAAGAAGGTTTAGCATGCCTATAGCCTGTATTTATCCTATCAATATTGGAGTAACTTCAAAATCTTACCAGCCGAAATTTAACTGCTCTTCCTTTCTATAGGTACTGAATCCATTATCATTTATTTATTATTTTTATTTTTTTGGGTAGTAAATAGTTGATGGAAGTCAGAATTTTAATGTGATAATGTTACATCCTAGTCATTAGCCTACAGATATCAAGTTGGATATGGGAAGGTCCTAAGATCGTGTACTGATTCAGGATTTTATTGCAGGAACTTTGATTTTTGATGAAGGATGGCTTTCTACTTTTATTGACCTTATTGGCAAGGCCTCTGAAGTCTCCATAAAATACTTTCAGACCAAATACAGATTTCTGTGGCAGAGGAAACTCTAGTGAGAGCTGGGCTTCTTCGTGACCATCCAGTTTTCATTATTCAATTACTGTGTGCTAATGGTTTCGTAATCGCATTGTGGGATTTGCAAGTTATTATTCGCGAGATTCAAATGCTAAATAAACGAGTTTTCGTTGCACATTATACACTTCGTTTCCTTATGTTTGTGGGCAAAATTTGGTATCAGATCCTTTTGATTATTTTGTAACGAAGGTAGTACCTAACCTAGAATGTTAGCTATTCCCAGGGAATAGAGTATGGGCCAGTACCCATCAATCTGACGAGTGAACCGCTCTCCCAGATAATACTCCCAGCTCTCAGGGCCGAAAAGAATCAGTCTGAATGAAGTTTATCTTCCACATACATATTTTTACCCTCTCGTCTGTGTACCACTGGAATTCAGGTCAATACCCTCTCCACATCTTCTCTAAAAAGATGCTGCAAAGTGAAAGGATCAAGGACGAGGCACAATAGAAAGTGGATTAATTCATAAACGAGGGCCGAAAGTGCCTACTAGAGTGTCATCATTTAGTTAAGAGCTCTCTCAAGCTTGATGAATTCAAGCGGGATTGTTTTGAAAATGAATTTGAAGTTTGAACTAATTGTGCCATGCTATGACTTCGTAACAAATAGGTCCTTAATCTATTTCTTTTGCATTCAAGTCCTTAACAGATGGAATCCATCCACTTGTACATTAATTTAGTAAATTTTTTGTTATAAAGACTAATCAACCCTTATTTTTAACTGACTTAAAAAATAAATAAAAAGAAAACAAGAAAAAAATAAATAAAGAGAAATTAGCATTTCACCTAATGAGCATAGAAATTGACATGCAACATGCAACAAGATACAAACACGTCGGCACATGATTTTTGGAGAATGTGAGACGCAAACACGTGATTGAATTCTTCAGACTATGTGTTATGTATTTGTACTAATTTTATTAACGGTATCAGAGACACCCATTGAGATTTGAAACAATATAATAAACTCTCACTCAAGTCCCTGAGTATCACATACATCATCTGATCACTTTTTAAGCCATATATCATTGAGAATGATGTTGGCACACCAAAAATTGCTTCGTGAAGGAAAATGATGATTTTTATTTTTTAAAAAAAAATTGGTTGTATTTTATTGGCTTAATGTAAATTATAAAATATTAATTGACTTCAAAGGGATAATACGATATTATTTTGAAATATATGATTAATGTATCAGATCAATCTAGCATTCTATTAGATAAATTTTACTTGAATAATAGAAAACACATGTTTTAGTTTATAAATTAATGAATATGAATTTTTACTAACAAGTTTGCATTTGTTAATATTTACCTTATCTATACATAATTTATAATTAATTGAAAATCCTTAAATCATTTATTACCATATTCTTTACCAAATTTTAGGTATAAATTTCTGCTACATGCATATGTAGAATTGTGTGTGCAGTCTTTAAATAGTTATTTTATTATTAAAGTGAACAAATTAACTTCCAACTAACTATATAAATTTCATCTTTTTTTTTCCTCCACAAGGACATTCTAGGTATATTAACCTCGTTTTGGATAATATATAGCTCAAAAATAGGCCAGGGTGTTCGATACTTAAAACTAGAAATTAGAAACGCCAGTATTAATTTTTAAACGTGAGGGAGTGTTCTATTGTTACAAAACAATGGTATAAATTATTTAATAAATACATAAAGAGTAGGATGTGACACGAGGTTTGCCAAATGACAATCTTAGAGACAGTTCGGACCGAATCTGTATTGAGTCTAAGAAGTGTTAGTGTCTAATATGAGGCATGTTTCATAGACTAAAATGACCCTTCAATAGGAGAATCCATGAAAGCCCAAGAATAGCGAACCAGGAGAGGGGTGAATTGGTTTTTGAAACTTTTTTGAAAATTAATTCAAGTTTTAAATCAATTTAAAAGCTAATGAAACAATAAGAAGAATATGTACAAATACAAGGACAAATTGAGACAAATAATGAGCACAATATAAAAGCGGTAAATAAAACGAGAGAAATGATGCAAACGATATAATTGTAGAGGTTTGATTCAGAGCAATGATCTAGTCCTCCGTTACCAAACTTTTCGGCACGAGCAATACCTTGTTACTATATTGATTGACTTATGGTGCAATCCAACCCTTTACAACACTTTCAGTGGCTTACAAATAAAAAGCATCGATCCTTCCACAACGTTGAAGTTTTGCGGGACCTCAACACGACCCACAATTAAAAACAAGAATAAATTTTACAAATGAAATCTTTTCTCTTAATAAATGATATAGTCAAAATTAAGTACCAAGAGAGAAATAGGCTATCACTTTAATAAATAGTAATGAATGTAGCTCAAATGTTAGAGTAAAAAATAAAACTTTTTATGAGAAGATTGATTTTCAATAATTTGATTTACTCAAAAAAGATTTTCAAGAAATAAATGACTTGATCTTTTTGAAGAATGAAAAATAAAGTATTTGGGATCAATAATGCATCACTTCAATGCTTCTTGAAAAGTTGTTGATGAATGAAAAGTGAAGTGATATTTATAGCAATGAAACCGCTAGAAATTCCATTGATCTGGATGAGTAATTTGAATGTCCAAATTTGAATCGGATAGTGCACAAGTAGCCGTTATGCATCAGATTTAGAACGGCGAAATTTCTTACCGTTAAGTAATCCGGACATCCGGATCCAAATGTAAAGAGTGTCTTTGGATGCTTTCTTTCGTGATAATTTTGACTAATGTAGGCTTTTGAAGGACTTTCTTGTTTAATTTCTCCAAGTAAGTGATTTTGTAAAAATTGGATCGTCGAGTTGAAATACTTGCTTTTTGAAAACTAATTTTTATGCAATCGTTTCTATAACTTGAATTTTTCTCGTGCATAAAAATTCTTTTTAAGCTATTGTTGATTCAATGAATGCTAAGAATTAAAGTGTTTTATCTTTACAAAGGAGTTCAAAGCATCTACGTCTAATGTCTCGGAATTTGACGTTTGACTTTTTCTTCAAAGTAATTTGACTTGAATGCTCGATTTTTGTCTTTAAAGTCCATCAACTGTCAATTTTGTTTCCATATCGATCGGCAATTTGCAAATATCTTAATCTTGATTTTCGTATCTTCATTTTTATCGATTTTTCGATAATAACTATAGCACTCGAATTTAATTTGTTAGAAATAAATGCAATTTATTTGTAATAATCAAAACGAAAAGTCAGCCATAGGTCAAAAATCCGTACTTTAGAGCCTTTCACTAATGTACAACAATGTTTAGACAAAATCTACAAGGGAATAAGATTATTGAAAAGTAATAGACTTAATGGAGTAAAAAGTCTCGTTATATGAGTAATAATTATAATTATATTCTACTAGTTATAATCAAATTTGATAAATGTAACACAAAGGAGATTTGTTTTTGTTATTATTCTAATCTAACTATGAAATAAAATATTAATTTTTTTGTCTAAAGATGAGATAAATGTATTGGATTTCAAAATCAACCTATTGATTTTAGTTCCAATTCTCTACTTATGAAAGTTAATGCAATTAATGCGTTCATGACAATCAATAATTAGTTAATATCTAATATTCTCTTCCACGACATATTAATTTTTTCTTAACACGATTCGAATTTATTCCTAATTTGAATTCATATGCAGAGCACGCATTCAATAATGGGATTAACTCATACAATTGCACATACTATAAACATTATTCCTAATATCTATTACTCATGTATTAAATATGTAGTATTTCATTTATTGGTGTCTCTCAACACTATAAATAAGCAACTAGTTATCTAAACAAAGAATAAACATTCAAACAACACAATATTCATGCATATTTAATTAAGAACATGAGAATTAACCAAAAAAATAATAAGTTTTGAACTAAAAACTATAAATCAATAGTCTCCTCATCCATCCAATGCATAAAAAATTTAGCCTAACATTGCCTTATGAAAATTACGTAAAAGAAAGAGAAAACAAATCACCAGAGACTAAAAACTTGAGAAGAATGTGAAAACTCCAATTCCTTGCTGGAAACTCGACCCTAAAAGATGCAGTTCCATTCCTTGAATGTAAAAATCTCTAATTTCTTACTCTCAATGATGAAAAGTCCGTTATGGATGTTCTTGATGGCTATAGTATAAATAGAATGCAAAAAGATTGCATTCTAAAATATATCGAATAAAAAAAGATTTTTCTTCCCCATTTCATCTTGGGACTTGCAACCTCGGGTGGGACTTGTCCTGAGTAGTTTTTAGTATTTTTGTCAAAAAAATTTTCTCTCGATATTCGATTGAGACGATTCAAAGTACGCTGGAAAAATAGTTGAAAGAGTTATGATTCTTCTAAAGTAACATTTTTCAAATTCGAACATATGCTATGCCAAAAATGAGTCTCAATAAGAGGCTAAAAATTCGAAGTGTAACTTTCAGATTGGAATTGATGTGTGGTAACACTTTAACCATATTTCATCCCTTATACTTCTTTTCTCATGCAATGGACCCCTAGCACATCTAGAATCTTAATGTTGAGGTCTGACATAACTTTTGAATATTTACACTTTAGTCCTTGAACTTTGAATCTCTTACAATTTAGTCAATTTTTCTCAAATTCCACCATTATGTTGATTTGTACCTAACAAACACAATACACATAACATTAAGCGATATTTTATCGAAATAATCTATAAATACTCTAACTTAAATGTCTAAATAAGTGTACAAAATAAACTTATCAAACAACATATCGACTTTGTGATATGTTTGTACATCATTTCCCTTGCACACAACCATGTATTTGTCATCATTTCCTTCAAACAAGGTTGAATCCGAGGTAAATATACATGAAACTTTTAAGATAAAAAGAAAGTTAGACATAGAAAAAATTGACATACAGGAGCTCAGGATTGTCAACAAGAAACCAAAATGTACAAAACTTATTAATTTGTATTCACATTTAACTTAGAGAAATACTATTTGTACATCATTGTGTATCGATTGATGGATGTGGAAGAAAGAGAGAGAGAAAAAGAAGATAAGGAAAGAAAAGCAAATCAGTAAATATAATCGAAATTATCAATGTACATCTTAATTCCTTCTATAAAAGCATATGGTAAATGAGGTGCCTAAATTCTTCGACATTTCTACACAGATGAACTTAGACTTCGCGCCTTCTGTGCTACCAGAACCTGCTCTAACCTTAAGCAGGTGGCCTTCTGCAGGGAGAAGAACCATGCAATGCAGTTGATCATGATAAAAAATCCTTGGACAGAAATGTGCCACTTACATCGGAAAACAGATAACATAAAATCAGGAGTAAAAATAAAAATAAAAAAAATACTGATTTCCTGCTTCATTCAGCAGGAGGAACCTTCACGCTTGGGCTTTCAATCTGAAGATAATTTTTTAAACTACGATCGCTAAATGTGATCTGCACCTTTACCTCATTACAAGCTTTCGACATACCAAGAAGCAAAGACACCATGGACATTCTGTTGCAATTAATTTCCCCATTATCTACTTGGTCTTCATTTCTTTATGTGAATCACACCTTTTTCGTTCTGAGACAGGCTTCCTAGAACAATATGTCCTGTCGTCTAGATTCACCCACACATACCAATTGCTTGCTTTCATCTTGTCTGCAAACTTATGACCACTTACCACTAGTTTATCAAAGAAAATCTGTTGGGTCTGTCAAGAATTAGAGAATGAAACTACAAGGCACTTTTTTTGCTCGTTTTGTTCAGGATTTTCATGCAGATTGATGAATCCTCCTGCCTTTATGCTCCAAACATCTTTTATTTCCACGGATAGGCTCCCTTCTACATGGAGAGCCATTGCCCAAGATAACTCCACAAATAGGTGAAAAATTCTCTTTAACTGGTTGTTCAAGATTAGTGATAATTCCCGAATCAATGCTAGAAAAATCATAAGGCATATTTTTTTCTGTAGTCAATTTTGAATTAACTCTCATCCCTTTGTGCTCCAAACATCGTTTTCTTCCCTTAACAGGTAGCTTAGTACAAACGGATCCTTTACCCATGGCAACACCACAAATACCCGCGCAATCATCACTAGAACCAGATATAATTGGCACCAGCCTTGGACGTGACCTCCCAAATTTATAAATTCGGGAGAAGATGCCAGTGCTGTCCATATCTGATCCATTCTGCAACAAATATGGCTCACAAGGTTTGATTTTTATACCCTCTTGCTTCTGTTGGAAATATTGAAGCTTCTTAGCTATTAGAGAGAACTGAGATTCTCTTGGATGCCGATCAAGCTTTTTAAAGATATCGTCGGGTCGACGTGCACCATTGCTACCTTTATTCCATGCATAGTCAAAAGTTTCAAGCAGCTGAGCTTCAGTTCTCTCTGCATCCCTCTTAGTTTTCATCTATGGAACAATTCCAGGAAGGAAATAAGTAAAATGATGCCAGGTGTGTAAGAGTATATAAAACTTTGATGCTGTACATATAAACCCATCTAAAAGTATGAGATGATATTAGAAAAGGATATTGATGAGGCAAGTTCAAACAACAACACATCTAAAAAAGAGGTAGTGCTTACAGGAGCCCATCTGTAAACAATGGAACAGCCTTTCAAGAATATTTGCATAAATAATCCTGGTCCTTTATTGACAGAAATAATTTGAAAGTTAGTCGACCCATCATTTGAGCATCCATTCTCCAAATGTGCACCGCCACGGCCATATTGTTGTAGTCTAGTCCTAACGTTATCGGCCTGTCCAAGATAAACAGGAATTATAAGGCTTGGGTCGAGTTTGCGAGTGTTTTGCCCAGATTTGGGGTGTGAATCGTGTGATATAGCTATGCCAAGCTCATAAATGCCAGGACAAGATATGCAATTTGGAAGATTGTGAGTCCTGTACTTCCCCACTCCTTCTTTTCCCGATAAATAGTCTTCCCAGTCAGAGGGCCCAATAAGAATCTGGAGAACACCAGATAGAATTCATCACAACTAAATCTAACACGAGCAAAAATTAAGTAAACCACTGATCAGGTACATATTATTGAGATTTCATTTCCAAAACCATCGAGACCAAATCTTGGTTTAGCCATGTATCTCCCATATCAACTAAGTGAAGCTCTTATGTCGGAATCTAGAAAAAAAAGGGCTCTAATCTAGAAAAAAAAGGGCTCTAAGCCAGATAGCCAAGTCCATTTTCCCATTTTCTACAACTTGTGTCATTTCATAAAGAACCAATGACATTCAAACCTGAAACGAGGATGTCTCAGATCTCCATTGCGGACTAAAATTCAAATAAACACATTATTATATCACTGTTCATTATTTATTCAATTGAAAACAAACAGGATCAGAGTTCCTTCATCAAACAGTTACTGCAATTTCAAATTTTCAATAGAACACTTCAAATATATTACTGTGCAGCAATTATCTCTCATTATTTCAATTTTATACCAAACATTGATAAATTACAACTTCCAATTTGCTAGATTTGTCTTTATTCAATTTTCTCATCTCCCAATAAATCTCTTCAAAAACAAAAAGTACAATGTTATTAGTGTTTACTAGTAATACAAATCAGACACTACCAAGTACCAACGTTGAATCAATCGCCCATCTTTAATTCATACAATCAAACTATCCAACTTTGATTTACTTGTAAATCTGACAACTGAGTCCAGATCTACAAGAAAATCAAACATGGGTTGCTTGATTGCACGAAATTAAGTATGAGTGACCCAAAAAAGCAATTTGTTCCTCCCTAAATTGAAATAAATTCACTTTCAGTTCCGTGAAAGCCAATTAAATCATGGCTGCTAATTACCCAACAAAGCATGAATAAACTGTGCATATATACATATAATCCATAGAGAGATGGGAGGCGGACCTTCCATTGAGAGAAAGCAGAATCATGTTTCGTGCGGCTGCAGTCTTCTCTCTTCAGCCGAGCTGCCATCAACGGATCCAAACACGCACTTCTGCAGACCGTTAGTTTCGGCCCTATGTATAGTACGCTTATCCGTCTAATTTGACATTTTGGCCCGTTACCAATGGAGTACGTTATGCTATTTCTCCAACTATATTTAATAGGTAAATTCAAATAATACATAGTACTAAATTTAAAAAAAAATAAATAATAAATAAATAATAAAATTAATATAACCCGACTTGACTGCAATGCACTAGATACTTTATGTTCGCTAATATTGTTCACACGAAGTTCAACGAGTATCTATAGTTTATAAATATCTTTTTTTTTTAATTATTATGAGACAAGCAGTTTGATACAAGAACTTTATTGAATTTGGATGGAGGAGTAAGTCATGCGTCGACAGTCTACTCCTACCTTGGTGGCCCAACATGTTTGAATAAACAGTGTGTTGTCCATGCTAACATCTTCTTCCGTCTAAATATTTCCCAAAAGATTCAATTGCTGATTGTGGTCAAAAGAAAATGAAAACAAAAGACTTTTCTACGGAAGCAGAGTAATTAATCAGTAAATTGAATGAAACTTATCATCTACTGAATCGGTGGCATACGAAGGCCAAGCACAATAGTACTACTTGAATGAAGAGTCATTCATATCCTGGAAAAGTTCTACATCAAATTTAAGACAACTAGAAATGATGGTTGGAAGTAATGCCCAAATATGGGGAAGAAAGCGTGAGAATTGGCAGTTATGAGGAAATGCAAGAGGGAAATTTGCAAAGCCATGACTGAGTGGAAAACCGTTCTAAGTGGGAAGTTTCTAAAGCCATGACTTCGAGTGGAAAACCGTTTTAAGAGGGAAGTTTCTAAAAGTCATGACTTCGAGTGGAAAACCGTTCAAGAGGGAGATCATTTTTGACATTTTTATTTTATAATTTTGTTCTATTATTACCCAACAAATGTGCTAAAAATATTAATTATTTTTTCCTAAGACTTTACAAAGTTTAATTAGTTAATAAAGTACGAAATTCTTGCAATATCCGCTCTCTTTAAATAGTTGGAAAGGGTTGGGGAGTCTCCAAACTCATCTTCAAGTCATAACGTTTGATATGAATGAAAGTTAGATTTGATTAATTTAAAAAGAAAAAAAAATTATAATTCCTTTTCGGAGAGATTGATCATGTGAATTACTTCAGTGTTTATAAATAATTTATAAACAAAAGCTAAATGCTACTCCTAAGCCAAAGCAAAGTCCATTGAAAAATGGGAATTAAGTTAATTTGACGTAGTACTTTTTTTTTTCCCTAAAAATAAAACAACAATTTTTACTTATACATGACCTACACTTTTTAAAAAGTACTGTTTTTTTTTTTAAATACAACTAGTGAATAAAAAAAATATAAAAAGAATGAATAGGTGTGCTCATAACCTTTCTATGCGAGGCCTCAATATTCATAAGGCCAGTAACAGCGTTAAAGCATAAAAAGCTTGTAGGCAAGAGCGGCGAACCATCGTCTTTGAATTTCATTTTGGCAAAAATCGTTAAAGCACCGGTGGAGTATTTAAAACTTGACTTCGAAACTAATTGGTGCAACACATGTAAGCCAATGAATAAAACACGACTACATAACAAAATCAATTAGAAACACACCATTAAATGACCACCACCTATCATTCACTAAAAAGATTCAATTGTCCCTAAGAACTTCAAGAAAATCTATAAATAAGTTCATCCTAAAAGAAGAGAGCATGTAAATTCAAACATCTACCTCCGAAATAGTTATTTTTACTTTTTACTCTTTGTTGAGCATCAAACACTATGAGTTTAGGAGAGAAATATCCTCGTTAGGTGAGAGGAATTTGCTGATTATAATATTGTGGTCAACAAAATAACATCGTCTATGGGAAATAGAGCAAAGATAACCATGAAGTTGTCTACCGAAATTGAAATGTCATCGAAATTTGTAAAGAGATAAGTCAAACAGAAGTAATTCCATAGGAAGTGAAGGCATTGGAGATTGAAATGGAAGAATATAGTGACAATCCAACTGACAATGATACAAATCTAAAAAGACAAAAGAAGGAGACGTTGGTGAAGTTGATGGCTGGAAGCTCATTCACTAAAAAGATCCAATTGCCCCTAAGAATTTCAAGAAAATCTATAAATAAGTTCCACCTAAAAGAAGAGAGGCATGCAAATTCAAACATCTTCCTACAAAATAGTTATTTTTCCTTTTCATCAAGCACTATGAGTTTAGGAGAGAAATATCCTAGTTAGGTGGGAGGAATTTATTGATTATAATATTGTGGTCAACAAAATAACATCGTTTATGGGAAATAGAGCAAAGATAACCATGAAGTTGTGTACCGAAATTGAAATGTCATCAAAATTTGCAAAGAGATAAGTCAAACAGAAGTAATTCTAGAGGAAGTGAAGGCATTGGAGATTGAAATGGAAGAATATAGTGACAATCCAGTTCACAGTGATACAAATCTAAAATGACAAAGGAAGGAAACGTTGTTGAGGTTGCAGGCTGAAAACTCCTATGCTCAATGCTTGTTAAGATTTGTGGTCCGTTTTAATAAGGTCAACCTTATTAAGAAGAGTGTCTCAATCCTTTATATATTGGTCATTATTTCGGTATTTTACCGATGTGGGATTATATTCCCTTAACATGCCCCCGCAAGATGGTTGCTCGTTTGAGCGGACCAATCTTGAAATCAGTGTGCTCATTTTTAGATATTTAATCGGATCGAATTGCTCGTTAGAACTTAATGGGCTCTTCTACCATGTTAAGACTTGGGGTCCATCTTAATAAGGTCAACCTTATTAAGAAGAGTGTCCCAATCTTTTATATATTGGTCATTATTTCGGTATTCTACCGATGTGGGATTACATTCCCTTAACATTGTTAAGATTTGGGGTCCATCTTAATAAGGTTAACGTTATTACGAGGAGTGTCCCAATCCTTTATATATTGGTCATTATTTCGGTATTTTACCGATGTGGGATTATATTCCCTTAACATGCCCTCACAAGATGGTGACTCGTTTGAGCAGACCAATCTTGAAATCTGTGTGCTCATTTTTAGAGACTTAATCGGATCGAATCGCTCGTTGGAACTTACTGGGCTCTGATACCATGTTAAGATTTGGGGTCCATCTTAAATAAGGTCAACCTTATTAAAAAGAGTGTCCCAATCCTTTATATATTGATCATTATTTCGGTATTTTACCGATGTGGGGTTACATTCCCTTAACAATGCTCTCTTACAAAAGAAAATGTCAACAACAAAGACTATACAAGTGATGGTGATAAGTGTATTTTATAAAATACACTTATTTGACTTGAAAATATAGACATTTATAGTTCTTTTGAACAATTATAGCATAATTTACTTCATATTTTATTTATTAGGTGAAACTCGATGAAAGGAAGTGAAATTGAAAGAAAGAAGGGAAAATTGGCAAAAAAATGACAAGATTCAAAGTTTGGGGACTAAAGTGTAAATACTCAAAAGTTGTGTCGAATCCCACGATGAAGACTCCAGAATGCTAGTGATCAACTAGAAGGCAAAAAGGAATGTTTTCACAAATCATTTTTCAATCGTACAAGTATGTTTTAGATTTTTAGTCGAAGATTGAGACTCATTTTTGACATAGTAAACATTCGAATTGACTAACAAAGTTATAGTCTTTTGAGTTATCTTTTCAATACACTTTGAAGCACCTTAATTAAATATTGAAAGAGAAAGTTATGATAAAAAAATTGAACAAGGCGCTGAGTTGGAGTAGCAAGTGGCATTTCACTCTCAGGGTAAAAGGCAGATTCGCGGAGCCATAGTGCCACTACATGGCGCAAAGGTGTCGCCTGCACTACATAGTGTTTTCATGTGTAATTCATCTTTTTTAAAAATTCAATTCAATTAAAACTCTTTCAAGACTTGAAGATGACATAGATACAACTCTAGATAACACAATTTGGGAGGAGAAAAACACATAATCATCAAGATCAATAAGCAAAGGCTAGGATTTGAAGATTTTTAAGATTGAAGAAGATTTTTGGTGCAAGACCCAGCTTCTTCCATGATCAAGATTTCAAAATTCGATTATGAACTCCATACTTTTTGTTTTTCTTTTATTATTATAAGCATCTAAATTCATAGTTATGGCAAACAATGTAATCTGTGTGTGATTTTTTATTCAAAATTCTAGTTCTATAATTGTATAACTGTTGATTTTTTTCATGAATTTAATGCTTTGAATTTATTGGTCAACTATTCAATGATTTGGTGAATCCATTACAAATTGATAGGTGAGTTATAGAATTAAACCACATAATAAAATTCGATAATTTATTATAATATATAGAGATACCTATATTATTTATTACAATCGCAAGATGAATTCCTAGAACTAATGTTTCGTTTAACTAAATATGATTCGCATAGACATATGTGATCGAATTAGTTAAATAGACTCAATGAGAACTTGAGAAAGGTAAATTGAATACTTTAGAAGAATTCGTTAGAACACTACAATTGTAATGAATCTTGATTGGCGAATTAAAGGGGATTTATAGGTAAAATTGCAAATCCTAGCATCCATATTCATACTTTTAAAATCCAAACTCTATAAATTGTGTATGTTTGACAATTTAGTTTAGTTAGAATAATTTAGAAACCAATCACAAACCTTATTATTTGTTTCGATCAAATTACTATTAGGAATAATTGAACCAATTGTTAAATTGTAGTCGTCCTGAGAATGATATTCGGACTCTTAAGTCTACTTTATTACTTGTTACGATTCGTATATTTGCTTGATATAAAAATCGACAACATACGGCAGAAAGCCTTTATGCATTGACAACAAAAAATGCCACCCCACGTGCAAAATTCGAAATTTCAAAAGTGAATCTGCAAGGCGCATTTGATAAAAATGACGTCGAGCCTATAACTAGCTTCTTCCTTGAGAACATCAGCAATATCTAGGTATCAAAAAACTGTGATAGTTTACCTGAGAAGAGGTGAAGAGATCATCAGATACATCCGTTGATTTGATGGGACTTGTAGAAGAGATCAATTCTCATGATAAAAGAGGCAACCAATTTATCGTGGTGAAAATAAAAGAGCAGAAAGCCCGATCATCTCTTTATATAATATTCCTCTATATGAGGAACATGAAGATCATACG